TTTGCTTTTTAGAACTCAAATTATCCTTCCGTTTCTTAAAATGTATTTTTCCTTCTTCGTTGCAGCAAGAATTGTCATTTTCTTTCTTTCTCTCTTTTTTTTTATAGCTCTTGGGTTTAAAATGTATATGTACATAACAGTAAGAGATACATATCTGTATATTGTATGAAATGACTTTTTTTTTTCTCAGAGAATACTGAAGGCTCTTTTCCCCTGGAAAGCTAGTTGTGTTATGTATTCCCAGCTTTGTCACAGAACAGGCTCTTGGAAGGGTTCTCTTTTTTACATGCGTGAGGCTGTAGAGGTACAATAAATTCATTCAGGAAAGGAGGTTACTTCTCTGCCTCAATTAAAATCGTTGCACACCCCTTCTCTGTTAAAATGTTCAAAGTGAATTGACTTGAATTAATTGTTCTAAAAAGAGTGGAGTGGAAATCAAGGATTGAGTTTGGTTGGAAATTAGCAGCTGAGAGATGAAGGTGCCAGGATTTTTATTTAAATGTGGTACAACAAGATTCTGTCAGTAAAGCACATCATTAGAATATTGAGTTTAGAACTGCTAATTTTTCCTTTAAAATGAGCATACAGTCATGTGTTTCATGGACCATAATAAATTGCCATTGTGTTGTCATTGAGTTTGTTTTGCTTTTTTTCAGTACTGGTTTGGCAGTCATTCTGCATTTTCTCTCTTTCCTTCCCCCCCCCACCCCCGATCTTACTTTTTTTTTTTTTAAATAGATCCCTCACCGAAACCAGTCAAACGAATGTTATTTATTTCATGCAGTCTTAGGTTTAGCATCTTCTGCACCATTTTCTTGCTTACGGTAGCAAGACATTTGCAGATGGTTCTTGGTTACTATAAAGTACATAACAGTATTTCCTTTGTGGCAGATGGATTTAAGACTTTTAGTTCTCAATAAATGTAGGTTTACAATACATAACTTTACAGGATTTGTGTTGTATATAACAGGTTTGAACATATTATCTCAGAATTCATCTGCATGGCATTTTCAGCTTATTCAGGGTTCATGCCAGTTTTTTTAAGTAATAGGGGGAGCGCTGTGATTGATAGCAACAGCTCAAGGCGTGATTTTGAATAGAAACAAAGGGTTTAGAACAGAAGGTGTCAAATTAAACTTTGTCAGTTTGAAAAGTAGTAACATCCTGAAAGTTTTACTAATTTATTTACATGTGGCTACTGTTTATATTTTGCCCTCTTTATATGCAGTGTAATGTTGCTTGGCAAATTTACTACATTTAAAGTTTAGGTTGTTCCTTGTACCATTTTAGTTTTCTGAGAATGGATCAGTCTCATTATTTTAAGGCTGTTACTCTCCTGTCTTTTCTACTGTACAGAACAGTCGTGATCTAATTTAATTTGGGAAGCAGCTCACTACTCCTGTCTATGGTCTTACAATATTTCAAGTCCCAGAGACCGCTCTTAAAAATGTAATTACGTTCACATTTTGCAACAAAGTACTGCATTTCATTTCTTGTCTCTCCTCTACCAAGTAAATCTATACATTTATCATTTAAAAACCAATACAGTGCTTAGGGGAATCATCATTATTTGTCAGATATTACAATATTCTGACATGTCATTGTCTTACCAAGTTTATTTGCTCTAACAATATCACTTACGAAAAAGTGACCTAGAAAAAGGTACTGGGGAATTAGAAAGCATTTGGCTTTTTTAGTCACTTTGTGCAAAACATAGATCAGATTACTGTCATCATTAATACAGTCTCAATTGATAGGATTTGAGGTAGTCAGAATATTCCAAGGTATTTAAATAGTATTAGAATGAGTTGATCTTATTTTTGCCAGCATAAATTGGGAATGAGCCAGTGTCTCTGCTGACAAAGAACTAGCGTGTTAAAATGTCTGTTTTCCATTATTTTTTAAGACATACACACATCAAGAAAAGCACTCCCCCCTTAATTTTTTTTTCTTTTTTCTTTTTGGAATACCCTTGTAGAACTAACAGTTCCCAGCTGCACCGTTAAATATTTTTCTAAGAAGCATCTGATTTCAGTCTCTTAAAATCATCATGTCTCTTGAAAGGCTAGCAGAGACATGCTTCAAACTTATAATTCATCAAATTATTTTTAGATAAGGAATTAGAAGTATTATTTAAGGGCAGAGGTTAATAGCAAACTACTGGAAATGTTATGTTAGTCATGGGCAATTAATAAAAATAAGGATCCATCTCATAAGTATAGAGACAGAAGTGACAATATGAGCAAAATATTTGTTGAATGAGTCAGGGCTCCTTTTCTGAAATATTTGTTAAACCAGCATGAGTGTGATTGTTTAGGAATTAGCTATCATTATTAGCCATTTTAAAAGAACTAATGATTTTCTTTTCCAAAGAACATCTGTGATCCACATGTTTTTTCACATATATCCGAGTGCTAACTGATCTGTTACTTTAAAAAGTTTCTAAAGGATTGGAAAAATTATTGGCGTTTTTCAGCTCTCTTCAAGAAGCTTTTCTTACGTGAATTGTTCTTAATTTAACTTTTAGCAATTTTTAGTTACAAGCGTTTATTTAAAAAAAATCTTAGATATCCAATGTTTAGCACTTATTGCAATAGTATACAGTAGTAGCTAAGTACAAAAAAACTGCCCCCCCCCAAAACAACTTTTCTGTTCTGTTTTTTTATGAATCTGCTAACATCTGGAAAGGTGAATAGAATTGTAGCAATTTGCTCTGTTTAGGCATGGGGGCCTGTCAATTGCTGTAGCTGAAGAATGGGTCTCCATTCTTCAGCTGGGGGGAGGAGAGTCATCTTAACCATAGTTAATATTCAAGCCTGCAGGAAGATGTAGATCTAAAACCTGCATAGCATCAAAACTTAGAGGTAAAGTGTAAAGAAATAGCTGAGATGTAGGAAAATATAAAATGTTTTCATGGCTCAATCCAGATAGCAAATATTTGCCAATAAGAGCTAAATAAACATCTCCAGGGCATCATATGCAAGTGGGTCTCAAATACTTTAACTACTCAAATACAGTTTGAGAGTTAATATTATACTCATATAAATAGAGCTAAAATGTGACACATCATATTTTTCTGGAAATAAACATAGAATTGCCATGGTTAGAAAAGAAGCATATTCAGTGACATTCTAATCACAATTATTATTTTTTTTTAACTAATATTCTCTCAGGTAAATCTTCAATTTACTGCCTGCTCCCTTAGCCTTGAATTACGCATTCAGTGGCATTGAATGAGTGCATGATTGCATGACCATCCCCTTGTACGTGTTTGTTTAATTACAAGACCTGCTGAGTAGAAAAACAAATGTCTCAGAAAAATTAGTAGATCTCATGAGGTTTAGCAACAGTCACTCACCCTTGGCTGGTTAGTAGGTGGGCCTTGGGAAGCTGACGTCATCAGCTCTCCAGCTTTTCTTTTAAATTCTCTCAAATAGGCCATCTGGGGAAGAATGGGCCTTATTTCTTTTCACCGTATATTGCAGTTGGAAGGGGAAGGAGAATTTTCTGCAATGGTTCAGTTTGGGAAGAAGGGAAGAAAAGTCATACCGTTCTCTGGTCTCACCCCAAACGATCGCAACAACACACACACACACACAAAACCTCTCCTTGGCTAGTTCTAAAATCAGATAATAATGTGCTCCTTCCACTCCCATCCAACTAATTTACTTGGCATTTCTAAGAAATCCCTTCATCTTAGGTCAAGTCCCTAAAGCAGGGCCTAAGACAGGGAATCGGGTGTGTATGATTTGGTGAAGGACCCGAAAGGAGTGAGGGAGGATAGGGAAGAGGAAGGGGTCCAGTAAGAATATGGTCTCAGGTAGTCTGTATTGATGGGGGGAGGGCCATCTCCAGAGAGAAAACTGAAGGGTTGAGTGAGTTGTCACTTTGAGGAAGAGGGCAGGGACATTGTACCACGGGGTAAGCCAATCACTGGCCACCCCAGGGTGTGAGGGGGTCAGTGAGGACATGGAGTAATTGTCCAGTCATCTCCAAATGTTGCTCCGGGGAAGAGTATGGCTGTGAGCCTTTAGCAGGCAGCACGGCAGCTGGAGGTGGTTGCCTTGCTTGGCAAAGGGGGTCTGGGTGGGACAGGCTCCCTCTTACTCTCCACCCCATTGCCTAGTGTCCATCACGGCAGCCAAGATGAAGAACGTTTGGCGTGAGGATTAGAAAATGTTAGACGATGTACCCTCTTGGACCACTCAGTTCTTGATAATCTGAGGATCAAAAATGGGGCCTTAAGGGAGTCATCAGAGAGGTTCAGGTTTTGGCATTCATTGGACATTTCCTTCTCTCTCAGCTCAGGAAATCTATTAAAATTCTTGTCTGGTGAATCATATTCCATGCACTGCAATGAGCAGAAAAAAACAGGCTCCGAGATGTCCTTTTGGAAAGTTGTTTCTCGGAGAAGTCTTCTAACCCATTCTGATCATTATGCTTTACACTAGATGACATTTTTGCTCACTCTACTGCACGTGTCTTTTCTCTGTCTCTCTCACACACACACACACGCACACACACACACATATATTTACACGTCGTTTCCTTCCTAATTCAAAAACCATAAACTTTGGGAATCCTTTTAGGAAACAAATTATTTTAAAAATCTGTCCTATCTCTTCTTAAATACCTTCAGGATCTCAGATGGCTGCTCATCAAACAAGAAAGCTGGGCAAGACAAGAAGCACGTTCAGCTTTGCTTTTCTCCTATTTCACATATTGCGAAGTCCGTGGTAAATGTGTCTTGCCCTTGGAATCATAAAAAACGTGACCTTCCTTTAAGATGCAAATCTGAACATTTATTAGAAACAGAGCCTGCCTCCTTGACAGCCACAGCTATTCTCTCTTAACAGGTTAAAAACATTTTTTAAGCAGATTGGAGTGTTTTTGAGCATATGAAAAAAAGTTAACTTCACAGGGTCTTTTCTTTTTAGCTCTTAATGGAAAATATCAGCTCCCCACAGGCATAACTGACCTATTATGCCCTTGTCTCTAAGGGGTGGTTGTGTGAGCTGTTACGCTGGAAAGAAGATCCTTCTCCAGAAAACAGGACTCTGTGGGAGAACCTCTCCATGATCCGAAGGTTCCTCAGTCTTCCTCAGCCAGAACGTGATGCCATTTATGAACAGGAGAGCAACGCGGTGCATCACCATGGCGACAGGCCGCCCCACATTATCCATGTTCCAGCAGAGCAGATTCAGGTTCGTTTACCTTGGCCAACTCAATATAGCACTAAGTAAATAGAGCTTTAAACTTAGCAGGGAAATTAGCGTTTCTCTTCTTCCCGCCAGTCTAAACATAGGCTTTAGCAAGAGATAACAATACACTGCCATCTTGCTCATGGGAATAAAAGGAAAATTAGCACACTTTTTCCAACATGTGTATTGTGTGCCTTCTCCCTCATTTCCCCACCCACAAAATGCCAGGAACCCCCTTTGTTTATACTTCTGGTTTGGCAAGTGCGTCTTTGTTAGAATTGGGTTGTTTTTTGTGTGAGAGCTCAAATTTTGTTTTTTGTTTTTGTTTTTTAAAAATCCATTTAAAAAATACCACCTATTTTTTAATGACTACCAATACTGCCGTTTCTGTAGAGGAGGTTTGTACGATCAGAACTTTCTACCTTGGATACTGTCCAAAGAGAGGAGGGGAGGGAAACCTAATTGGAATCTTGTTTCTGACTTCTTGGCCCTTCCTTCACCTTGTCGCTGTCTCCCCACACCCTCACAGAACACAGGTTAGGGGTGAGTCATGTCTGTTTGTCTTTCCTTTAGAGCCCCTCTCCCACCAGCCTTGGGAAAGGAGAGTCTAGAGGCGTTTTCTTACCAGGCCTGCTGACCCCTGCACCATGGCTCGGTGCTGCTCCCCAGGTGAGCGGGCACAAGTTACCTATGCCAGCAAGAGAGGGGGTGGTGTAAAGACCTGCTCCCTTGGTCAGAATTTTCAGACTTGCAGAGGACATACTAACCATGGTGGTGGCCAAAGACCACTGTGCCAGCAGATTCAGCCTTGTGCTTAGCGGGTTCTGTCATGGGACTTGTCTCCATTCGTCCACTGAGGGACCTCCCCTATGAACCTAGATTGGAAAGCTCTGGGACCAGGTAGTTTGTTGGTGCCCTACGGCCTTGATTTCTAAGGAAGCGTGTTGAATGAACTGGGGCTGTAGAACCTATTTCTGTTAAATCTAAGGGGATGTTTTTAGCTTTTCCCTTTAAGAGAAAATGCCATTGCCTTCCAGAGTCCTAAAATTCTACTGTCTTTGTTGAATCACCTGCATTATTTCTTGGTATTGCTGTGGGTGTGGGTGGGGAATGTATATATTTATCTAGCTAAAAATAATGATAGAGTTATCCATCCACTAAGAAAAAAAAAAAGTCCTTGAGTGTGTATTAAAGATAAATTGGAAAAGAGAATCCCTTAGGATATCAAGCACTAAAATAATCATGAAAGCCTGAAAAACTTACTGTTTAGCAAAAACAAAAAAAAGACAGGTATATGTATAGTAATAAAAATAGTACTTGTTTGAAGATGTAAATTGTTTTTAATAAAATTGTTTCTTAGGGGGATAAAAGGAAATGCTTAGGCACAGTATAAACGCTCTAATATTTTGCCGCTTACTCAGGTTGATTTGCTTTGATGATAAGAATTATGGATATATAGAGTATACAGTATGTGCATGTGTCACACATTTGTTATGTATAATTGTGTATGGAAATTACAGCACATATACAGACACTAATTACGAAAACGTGTCTGTATACACTAAATTTAAATCCTAATCACATGAGTTTACTATAGACAAAACAATTTGCTAGCCGTCGTACGGTGGATCAAACTTTTATTTTTCGGTAAGGAAAAAAGAAACTTGCAGTGTCAGCCTAGAGCAATTTGGTAAGAAATTGTGTGTGTATTAAATCGGAACTGACTGGTAGGAAATTCACAAACGTGAGAATCTCAAAAATCCTTTGGAGTCTTAAGGGATACTGCTGAAGAAGAGCAGGCGTTTATCCATTTTATTTGGAGTTTAAATAAGACTTTCTATTCTTGCTCCATGCTTTAGCCATGGATGAAATGGGGCAAAACACAGGTTTCTTTCTCCCAGGGCTCTGTAGCACTCTCTTCGAAAATGCCTTTGAAATCCTTACTCCTCAATCTTCATTTTAAATCTTTGTTAATTATTTACATCATAATTTGCTTTGCTGTCTTCGCCTTCTGATGCGTATCCTGGTGAAGTCCACGGCTCGCATTTTCAGCGCGCTGAGCTTTCACTTCCGTGAGCGAGACTGAAAATGAAGGGTAGGGAGGCTCCACTAAGGAAGCCCAGTAGCCACACACCCCCCTCCCGCCAAAACCCTAGTCGTGCCTCCCCTTCCTGGTTCTTACCATTTTGACTTCTTTCCCTGATGCCGTGGGCCGTCTGACTGGCCTCCCTTTGCGTCCTGGATCTTTGTCCCCCTCGGAGGAGCTCCAGGTGGGAGAAGCTACAGCTGGGATTCCCAGCCCCCTGTCGCCTCCTTCTAGCCGGCTTTGCCCGCCGCGCGCTAAGACAGCGCTCTGACTCTCCGCTTGTTTCTTTGCAGCAGCAGCCGCAGGCGCAGGCGCAGCAGCAGCCGGCGCCGCCACCGCCGCAGGCGCAGGCGCAGCAGCCCGCCGGGCCCCGGCTACCCCCGCGGCAGCCCACCGTGGCCTCGCCCGCCGAGGCCGAGGACGAGAACCGGCAGAAGACCCGGCCGCGGACGAAAATTTCCGTGGAAGCCCTGGGCATCCTCCAGAGTTTCATCCAAGACGTAGGCCTGTACCCGGACGAAGAGGCCATCCAGACTCTGTCCGCGCAACTTGACCTGCCCAAGTACACCATCATCAAGTTCTTTCAGAACCAGCGGTATTATCTCAAGCACCACGGCAAACTGAAGGACAACTCCGGCCTAGAGGTGGATGTGGCCGAGTACAAAGAAGAGGAGTTGCTTAAGGATTTGGAAGACAGTGTCCAAGACAAAAATGCTAACACCCTTTTCTCGGTGAAACTAGAAGAAGAGCTGTCAGTGGAAGGAAACACGGACATTAACACTGACTTGAAAGACTGAGATCAAAGTATTATTTTCATTCAACAGTGCCACTGGTATTTACTAACGAAATGAGAAGTCCACCTTGTATTCTCTCAGAAAACCTTTGTTGTTCATTGTTTGGCCAATGAATCTTCAGAAACTTGCACAAACAGGAAAGTTGAGAAAGGATAATACAGACTGCACTAAATGTTTTACTCTGTTTTACAAACTGCTGGGCAGCCCCAGGTGAAGCATCGAGGATTGTTTGGTATTAAAAATTAAAATTTGTGTTCACGGGACACATCAAGGTGTGTACCCCGTAAGCATGATACCAGTGATTTTTTTTTTTTTAAAGAAATTATTATTCTGGAGCCTCAAACAAGCATTATAACTTCTGTGATTATTATTTCCTTCCTTTAATTATTTCTGTAACACTCCACACTGATCTTTGGAAACGCGCCCCTTATTTTAAAAAAAGAAAAAAAAAGAGTTTGTTACTCTATTGTATGTTACAAAAGAACTATAGACTGTGGAATGCAGTTTAAAGATGACATATGCCAACAAATGCCTTGTATTATATGGCACTGCCGTAATTCAAATTTGTTTTTATTTTGGAAATAAAAGTTCACTGTAATTTTTTTCATTCTCATTGTTACATGATTTTTTAAAAAATGAAAAGAAAATGTGAAACACAATTTAGTCCTCATTATTTATTTGTAGATCCTGCAGCATCATGTTGTAATTAATTTTTTGGAAGTTTCCGTTAAATGTAATATTGCTTCTCTTGTTACCATACTGATTCTTTTCTATTTATAAATGTATTTTGATGGGCAGTAAAACAAAGTGTCTTAAAAGTTTTAAATAGAGAAAATGTGCTTTACACAGTTGCCTATAAAAAGTGCTCTATGTTATCCAAGCAATTCATACTATAAGCTTCACTCTTATTGTTGTATGCAATTTTTACTCTCATGCAAATAAGCTTAGGTAAATAAAACTAATAGATCACCTTAGAAAATTATGCAATTAATGTGAAAATAATTGATGTTTGCAATGTGTCTTCCTTTGGTTTACAATCAATTTTAAAGCTACATCTGTATAAAATTTCTGTATAAAGGTGTATTTCTTTTTTATGAGTTTATGGCTATGAAAACACCAGCTATTTTGTTACAGCTGGCTGTTTTTATAAGTGTATCACAATTTTCTTTATGCAGAAATGTTCTGATTAGGAGTGGTTATTGACTGTAACTACACAATTAAAATTGTTTGTATGGTATGACATGGTAGGGTTTGTCTGCTTATGTGAAGTAACTTTAAAGAGTCAAAGATGGCCCTCAGTTAGGTGCATGTTAATATTTTCTTGATGATATTTTACTGATTTTAAAAAGAGCAATTGAAAAGTCACTAGAAACACTGTAAATTTAAATCACAAACACGTGCTCATTTTTTAAGTTTAACAGTGAAGACCATGACCTGTTTGGGGTTAACATCTTGCCTAATAAACAGAGATAGTAGGATAGTCAGAAGACCTGCCAACAAAAACATAAATCTAGTCTCTAGGAATTATGTGCTTAGAGTGAATTCATCTGCATTTATATCACAATATTTAGTTATGGCAACACTTTTTTTAAGCTAATGTATAAATATTTTAAAGGCCTTTAACAGTAACATTAGGGAAAAAATGGACCTTCTATATAAAAACCTCTTAGTAAGCAATGTATTTTTTTAAGTTATAAATGGAATATAAGTTAATAACTGAGCTCATTTGGTTGTGTATGTCATAACTGAGAACTAAATGAAGAAAATAAGAATAACACACCTGGAATTTAAACACCATCTTCAAAATTCTTGCAACATAAAACTCCATACACTCCACGATATAAAGTGAGGTGTGTGAATGGTCATGGAAAGGATTGAGGCCAGGGTTTCGGGCTTTGTTATTATTTTTTTGTATTCACTTTATCTTTTGCTGCTTCTTTTTAAGACTTCCTAGATGTAAATAGGGGTATCTGGGTTCCTTGATAGTTGGTTCTGAAATTGTCCAATCTCTTCATGCCTAACATTTTTCCAGGCACTGATGAGCTCATTGGTAGGCAAGTGGGCTGCTTTTAATATTGAACTTTTACTTAAGAAACTAAAATGGCATCACTGAAGACTCCCGATTCAGCTGTAAAAGCACTATTTACTTTTGAAGCACAGCTGAACTGCTTTGAAGGCAGCTGGTTTGCTGTAACTTAAAATTGTATTGAAAAAGTTTTCAATTCTCTTTATTAAATAAGAAGACAACTTTTAAACATTCTTGCTCACTTAGAGTTCAGAAAACCATTTGAAGAAAAGAAATTTGAATTAATAAATTAGAAACTAGATTTCATGTAGTAAAAAAATGAATAAATAGAAACTAGTATGCCATGAAGTTTTTTACAAAATCCGTTCTCCTTTTTTTCCTCTGGGTTTAGAGGGAAAAGCTAGAGCAAAAAGTAGTCTTGGATTTTATTTTATTTTTTTAACCAGCCCAACAGAATATAAAGGTGTCAGAAATTTTAATTATTTTAGAAGGAAAAATTGGGTTGCAAATAGGATTTTGCCATTCCCAGTAAGCTAATTTCTTTTGAAATAACATTTTGAATGAATTTGATGAGTGTGTGTGAGAAATCAATCAACAATACTAATAGTCTCACTTAGACCCTTTAACTTAAGCAGCATAATCTTCCTAATACGATCTTTTAAACCAAAAATAAATAAATAAAAAGCACATATCAAAAAACAGTTGATGGTCATGATGGAGTGAGCAAAATTGTTTTCAGGGAAGACAGCACAATTTGGAAATGATTTGTTTGGGTGATCTTCCACATTGCTCCCCCAATGTCATTTATTGTTCATACCAGTCCAACTACCAGTGGCTATGGTAGAACTCCCTGAACAAGCTTCATTGTGTCCAAGTATTTCAGAAACTTTTAAAAGCTGGGCATGACATAGCGCTTTGTGCTGTTAAGACCTTAGCAGAGTCAGGTAGTTTACGGGTAATATTCAACCTTGTGCATCTGAATCTGTCATGGATTCCTTCCCTCAGCACTTTGCCACTAATTTGTATTACACTCTGTGGCCATATAATACTTGCACATTATGCAAAAAATAACGTAGACAGTATCTCCTTGGCACGTAATATGCAGAGTTGACACATAACCTTTGAAAACCAAGGTAACTAATATGTGTGCCCTAGTTGGGTGGCACTTGGTTAAAAAGTCTGTACATATGTATAAAATGTGTATTGATTAACATTTAGTCCTAAGGAATTCTGGGCTTAAAAGAAGTGTTTTGTTGTTTTTTTTTCCAAGTAGTGATATCTATATCTAACTGTGCTTATCTAAAATATGTAGCTTGAGTAGAAAACATTTTCAGATGGTTCAACATTGAGTAAAAATGACAATCCCATACATTCCATTATTAAATTCTGCCCTATTCCCTATTGTTATCATCAGCTGATATTAAGGTCCTTGATTGTCACGATATTATCAATAAATGAGGTATTCTGAACTGCCTGGTGATATTTTCAAAAAGAGCAATTAAAATGTGTATACCCTATTATATAGCCAATAAAAATAGGACTATCTTGCTGAAGCAGGCCAAAAATTTGCATGATAGTGTGGAAGGTTCAAATGAAGGTTCAAAAATATGAATCACATTTAAAATATCAGAAGATACTGATGCTATAGTTTATCTTACCAATAAATATTTTTTACTTTTAAAGGGGGCATATTATGGATTCAGTATTTCTTCTGAGGCAATCCTTTTAATGTGAATTCTAACTACTTGCATGTCTTTTGACAAAGGTTAAATTACAATCTATTAACGTGCAGATTTTTGATAAAATATAAAGTACCCTTATTAAAGAAATGTGGTGGAAGGTGTATGTCCAGAATACGATTACCTGTTTAACAATACCAAATGTTAAATAAAAATAGTTTGGAATTAATGTTTAAAAGACGAGCAACATTTTTAAGCCTTTCTTACATTACCCTACTTACATGAATCATGTATTTCCAAATTTAACTTTATCAAAATAATTCCAAAAAGTTCCATTATGGCTTCTTGCCTTATGCCAGGGTTGTGTACGAAGTCAGCTTCTGTCAACTATTTTCGGTTGCTAGTATCCCTATTGTGATCAAAAGCACAAGACTTGGACCCCGTTCTCTTTTTGATGATGTTTGATGAGGAGACGCAGTAAAACAGTACCTTATACTTGTTGCCTGGCCAAGGAAACAAAGAAACTCTAAAGTGACCTATTTTGCTCTAAATTAAATATTGAACATTATTTCAGTACTATTAGTTGAAAAATTTTTTTTTAAGATTTTATTTTTTGACAGAGAGAGATAGTGAGAGCAGGAACACAAGCAGGGGGAGTGGGAGAGGGAGAAGCAGGCTTCCCGCTGAGCAGGGAGCCCGATAAGATGCGGGGCTCGATCCCAGGACCCTGGGATCATGACCTGAGCCGAAGGCAGGTGCTTAACCACTGAGCCACCCAGGCGCCCCTAGTTGAAATTTTTTACCATTACTCTTTGCTTTTTGTGGTATTTAAATACGTTTTCATTACAGTGACAGAATCTAATCCCGTCTTTACACCCCACCAAAAGATAGGATGCCCCACGTGTTGCTCTGATATTCCACTCACAAAAGAACACACGGTACCTCTTAAATGAGGATGTCGAGAACTTTCTAACATTTAATGTCTGTTAGTTCATCAACTCTGTGGCAGAGTGATGCAAAGTGAGCCTTTATTCAGAGCATGAACCTGTCCAACAGCATCTTACTGTGGCAACAGGTTTCCCCTACTCCACCGCTGTTTCCCATTTTAATGTCCAAATTCTACCAGATCTCTCTCAAAGGCTTCTTACCTTTGAGTAGGAAGCACACTCAGATATGCTTAAAATGAAAATCGCAACACCATTCGTAGAATGTTTCGTTATATAAGGCACTGCCACAAACCTATCTCCATTCCACTTTGAGGCACCGAAGGCAGGCTCTGAAACTCCCCCTTCAAAGACCAGGGAGGGCCAACTCAAACAGGCTGAGTTTGAGTTGCTTCAGCTTTTAAGTGGCCTCATGGGTTTCAAACCCAAGGCTTCTACCCTTGCATTCCTATCGCTACTTCTCCTTAATAAAAGCTTTTTCAAATACAGAAAATGTAAAAACATTCATTGCCATTCAGAATTTTCAGAAATCTAATGTGGCATGTATTTTGCTAATATGAAAAAGTCTGTCACTGAGTAACTGAAATCAAGTGTATGAAATATTAACCCCCAGATTCTGCTGTCCCAGTGTAAGAGCTGTATACACAAAATATTTTTTTTCTAAAAAAACATACACTTTGTTATAGGAATGTTCAGATATATGGAAAAAAGTTAGAATAATATAACGAACCCCTGATGATTCATTCCCAGTTCAACAATTGTAACATTTTCCCATTAATAAGTACTTTGTGAAACTCATTAAAATTAAGATGAAACTTTTATGAAAATATTCAAACTGTTCAGTGGGTTTTGCCCATAATGATATCCTGACATTATCTTACTCTCTGCAAAGTAATGAATTTTCTGATTCCTAGAGAAAATATTGAAACGAAGTTTTTCTCAGAACTCTGAGAATTTTCAAAAAGCCAGTTTTAGGAGAACCTGTGAGAATTCCACAAATATTTGTAACATAAAAAAAGAGACAACCCAGCCTCTCTTTATTTATAAACAATACGTGCTTTCATATCATTGTTGAAACTAAAGTACATAATTTTCAGTTATGCATAATAAAATATGTAATTAAGCAACATTCCATAGTGGATTAAAGAATTAAAAGCTTCAGGTGCAGAAAAGAATTTGTTGGCATTTTCTTTTTCAAGGTGGTATTTTGAGGTGTTACTTTTCATTTTCCTTTGACATCTTATACACAAATAAATAGACAGAAACAGGTGAGAAACAGAGAAATGAAGAATTGGCTCCTACTACAATAGACCTGAAAAATAGTGAGGTAGCATATTTGCAATGTGCCCATAAAGGCTAAACTAAAAAGGACAGAAATTTTCTTAGCCTGGGGAGAAAAAAATCTCTAAACGGGGGCGTGTGTTTCAAGAAATAGCAGTAACATACTAAAAAGTTAACTGCACTCAATCATTCCTACATTTCAAACTACATTAAATTAATCACACTCCAATTGGTTGAGTCCAGTAGACTTATTTTGCAAGTGAAGAACTACATATAATTAATAAGCCTGTGCTATAAACACTGAAGTTC